CGATGTGAAGACCCAGAAGCTCCTCACAATGTATGGAGGTTTCCACCCCAAATCCAACACCCAGAGACTGTACACAAGCCAGAAAGAGGGTGGACAGGGTTTGGTGAGTGTCAAAGCCACTGTCCTGGGTGAAACCCAGAGCTTTCAGGAGTACATCAGTAAGATGGCACCCAAAGATGAGCTGCTGAGAGAATGCTGAGGTAACAGCAGGCATGGGAGGAAGTTCAAGCAGAGGAAGTAGCATGGCAAGACAAGACTTTGTATGGGGTGTGCCATTGATAGATAGCTGAAGTGGCTGACACTGGGAAATCCTACCAGTGGCTGGTAAGGGATGGACTAAAAGACAGCACTGAGGCACTGATCAGAGCAGAACAAGAACAGGCACTAAACACCAGATCCATAGAAGCAGGGATCTACCACACTAGACAAGACCCAAGGTGCAGACTGTGCAGAGAGGCCTCAGAGACTGTCCAACACATAGTAGCAGGGTGTAAGATGCAGGCAGGAATAGCATACACTGAATGACACAACCAAGTAGCTGGCATTGTGTACAGGGACATCTGCACAGTGTATGGTCTAGACCCTCCCAAGTCCAGATGGGAGATTCCATCATGGAGAATAACAGGACTAAGCTCCTGTGGAACTTCCAGTTCCAGAAGGACAGGCAATCAACCTGACATTGTGGTAGTCGACAAGCACCAGAGGACAGTGATGGTGATAGATGTAGCGGTGCCAAGTGACAGCAACATCAGGAAGGAGTATAAGCTGGAGAAGCACCAGGACATGAATGAGGAACTAGAGAGGATGTGGAAAGTAAAGGCTAAAGTAGTCCCAGTGGTGGTAGGAGCACTCAGGGCTGTGACTCCTAAGCTGAGAGAGTGGCTCCAACAGATCCCAGGAACAACATCAGAGCTCTCTGTCCAGAAGACTGGACAGTGCTAAGAACAGCTAAGATACTGTACAGAACCCTCAAACTACCAGGCCTCTGGTAAAGGACGTGAGATTGAGGAAGACACATACCACCCACAGGGGTGAGAGGGGATTCTATCTATCTATCTATCTATCTATCTATCTATCTATCTATCTATCTATCTATCCATCCTGACCAATGCGTGGCAAAAGTCTGTTACTGTGTAAAATGCAGCCTTAAACACTGGAGCTGCCACATAAATATGGCTAGATTCCTAGATTCAGCAGTAGTAATCTTCATCATTATAACAGCAACTTTTGCATTTATGATAAAAGCAGTTTATCTAAGTATTGTCCTTGAATATTCTACTGTTAAGTTCATGAATGCACGTATTAGTTTCTAGACAGAGATTTATTGCTGCATCTAGGGTAAAGCTCTGGCAGGCAGACTGTCAGACAGATTTTTCAAATAATTTTGTCATTCCAGGGACATTTTATCTTTAAGTAAAAGGGATCAAAGCTCAGGGACAGGATACATGTCTTCCATTTAGAAAGTTGCTGGTTCAGCGCCTGTTCGATAATTTCTAACAGTAGACTGGAAAAATCTTCTTGCCGAAATGCTACTAAAGCAGAGTAGACTACTCTGGACCAATGGATCAATGGCCTGATATAGTTTTCTATACTGAAATCCCAGATTCTAGACAGTAATTCTATGATTCTTTCCTGCAACCCCACCATAAATCTCATTGACTTCATGGTTATTGATACTCTGATAAATGGTCCGTGCTCTCCATACTTCTGTTATCTTTTCTCATGCCACCTATCATTTTACTTCACGTAGCATCCCTTCCATTTGTAAAGCAAACATTTCTTCTGCAACAGCCATTCCTATTAAAGTTTATTCCTTACACACACAAACACACACACACAATCCATCCATTTGTTTGCCTATTTCATGTTACTTAAATTATTGTAAGGTTCTGTATAAATGAAGTATCTTTTTTGTACATGTCAGATTTCACAATACTGCAGCCTTCCTAAACCTGATATTCTCCATATATGATGAACCAACTTTCATCATCCTTTAGCCAGCATGGTCACCCTGGGAAAGAATGTAGTTGGACCTGCCATTTGCTTTTAAAATGTTACTGACATTTTATTCTATGTTTTAAGAAGAAAAATAAAAATATACAGAGCCTTTTGAATTGAAGTAGCAATGGCCTGCATCCTCATGCTTAAATTATTAATATCTCAGCAGTAGACATATTGCATAACTAATAAAAAGTAGGTAACTTCAAACTACCTTTAAGAACCATATTGATACTTCTAATATAAGCTATTCTTGGGGACAGGATAGTAAAGTGAATCCAGGCCAAGCCAAATGTCTATAAAATCCACTAACAACTAGGCAATTCCATAAGCTCACATAAATCCAGTGATGATAAATTGTTTGTTTGATTATCATAAATTACCTTATCCATTTGTCAGTTTCACACACTTTTTTCCCTTTTACCATTTCTAAAACTAACATATACTAACTCAGGAAAATAATTTATTATAATCATAGTTGAAACAAGTAAGTAAGCATAATATAATGACATCATGTTGACTGAGAACTATTAGCTTGAAAAATTAATTTGTCTTCCCCTAAGGAATTGACAAAAGTACCTGCTTAAAGTTACCACTGCGTCTTTGCTCCCAGTCCATCATATCATGAAAAATAGGAATCATAACATTCCGCAGGTCAGGTTGAGGTATCAATGTCACTTCTAAGAAAGGGCCAATCAGTGCTGGGATGAAGTGGACTTTGTGTTCCCCTAAAAGGTAAAAGAGGCTAAACTGAGTGCAACTATTCTCAAGAACAAAATACTGGAGGAAAAACACCTGTAGGTTTATGAAGAATTATATTAGAAGTTGGGCTAAGAATATACAGCCTGTTTTGCTCAGCAGCTTTTCCAATACAGTTTATTTTATAAATAAATAGAAATAAACAAATAAATAGGAAAGATGCAGATGAGTTCAATTTACATATTTACAATAGAAAATGAAAAGTAAAGATTAGTCTGTCATATAGTTTCTAGTATTTTTGAGATTTCAACTGAACACAAGTTGCATTACTGTGAAATCTACCTACGTACCTCTCCCCCTCCCTCTCATGAAGTGCATTTCTGTTCACTCTGGAGAGGCTAGGAAGTTGGAAGACAGAAGTTTGGAAGCTGGGAGAGGTCCTGCTCAGTATTTGGTTAATATCACTGAAACTATTAAATATATTTTATTTAGTTTAGTGCCATCAAGTCAAATTAGACTCTTGCTGATTCTATGGGCATATGCTCCCCATAGATCTGATTTTAATAATATGTTGTAGCTCTTCCAAAAACGTTCCAGCAATCTCCTTATCTGTTGTTCTACTTCCCACAGCCACCAAGCGTTATTTTTCTAGTCCATCTTCTACTTTCATCACATGTCCAAAGCATATGAGCTTCAAAACCACAATCAGCCTTATTTGATCAAGGACTGATTGATAGTTTCTTCCTGTACATTTAGAGAGTAACTGTCTCTACATCTATACTTTGAAGACATCTATCTTCTTTTTCTCACTCTTTATTTCCAGCAGTCATAGCCATATAACCATACTTGTCTTTTCCATCTGGATGTGGTATGAGGTTTAGCAATGACAATAGGAGCAGGAACTCTACTGCTGCTAAAATCAAAAAGAGAGGCATAAGAAGTAATCCACAGCAGGAATGGGTATGCAGGGCTCTGGAGACAAGAATCCCAACCCATCGACTAGAAGAAATTCCAAAATCAAATCAGAAAAAGGCAATGGCAAACCACTTTTGCACTGTCACCAAGAAAATTGCACGGAGACAGCCCGTTCTTTAGCTTATTTCAATTCTTTTATCACTGCTACTGGAGAGAAAATACTGCAGTACTGCCAGTTCTGAGTATATCTGTCCATGTGGAACAGCTGAGAAACAAACAATGGTCCATGTATTGTGCTATCAACTGTACCTGGAGTTCTGCTCAGTTTAATGACCTCCTTAGCACAAAGTCTGGGTAGGTCACAGAGTTTAATGTTAGCTTATTTTTATTATTCGATCAGTACAATGTAGTATTATCACCCTATCAGTATGTCAATGGATGATCAAAGAATGCTAATTGTGCTATCATGTGATTAGTTTACATTTTACGTTAGGCTTATGTGATTGTAATGTTTAATTTTGAATGATTGTAGATTGTAACAATGATTTGTTAAATATGATGTGTACAAGCTGCTCTGGCATTTTGTACTTTGAATTTTGAGAAACTCCATGAGTGTCATTACCTACCTGACTGCATATGCACATCAGGTAGAAGAAAAAATGCTCAAATGGACAACAAAGGGAATGCAAATTTCACCTGTAAAAATGGAAGCTGAAACTTAAAAGAAGAAGAAGAATCAGCATGGCCATCAAATTAATTTTGCTGGCACTGCAAAATTTTTAAAAAATCTGCTTCAATTTACACATTAGTACACAAAGAAGCAATTGACTTTGAAGTAACTTTAGTCAACTTAATTTTAATCTAATGTTATTATAAAGTACTGTATGATACCTTAATGTTTTGCATAATAAATCTTACAATGCAATTTGTAAGAGTAGTTTACCAATGGAAATGTCACACCCACATTAGCCATTGTTATTTGAACTAAGAAGTGTTTTCTGCATGAAACAATGTCTCCACAAACTTTATATGTGGTTGCTATGATCATACAAACTATCTAGAAAAATTATTTTTCCTCTGTGACCAGCAAATGTCCTAATTTGGAGGGGGGGAGGAACATGGCATCCTACATAAAAAATCATTTAATCTACAATGTATAAAAGAGACTATCACAATAACTAAAATAAAGACTTAAAAGCAAGTAGAACTCATGTTCTACTACACTTTTCAATATCTACCAGTTCTTAGTTATAAGATACGGTGGTGGTGCATGATTTATCAAAATCTTGCTTACTTTATAAAGCTATTTTGTTCCATGTGATCAATAGTTCTTTACAGTTTTGCAATATTGCAAAAAGAGAGCAATCATTGAATAATAAAATGTTTTCCAATCCAAAACTATAGTCTTGCAAACATATTGACATACAACTCCTATGTTATTTAGCCATGACTTTGAACTCAATCAAGCTAGGTAAGACTGGATTACAAAATGAGTTATTTTGTTCCACTGAACTTCCAGATCACCTTCCGTATTTTACTTTCCATTCATTAAGTTGGGAGATTAAACTAATACTTTTTCATACAGAATTTATACTTTCTCTTCTCTTCTATTTTACTTTCACTCTTTTCCATGACCATTTTCTTCCATGTACATTTCTGACACTATCAAAACAATGGTCTGTCTCACACTCAGTCTCTCATCACCCTTGTATTCTTTATTAATCCTATCAATTATTCACCATACATCATCAAATCATTCATGTTTGTATGTTCAATCCTTTTCATTATGTAGCCATGAATATCCTTAAACTGTATCTCTGAAACATCTTTTTCTAAACAGATACTCACCAATTATCATTTGGACTTTTGGGTCTCTAAATGGGCCAATCACTTTTTCTATACTCTCTCATCCTGATCCTATTCATGCCACCTAACAAAATAATCTTTTCCCCTGGATGCCATTAATTGAGAATGTTGTATAGTTTTCCCCCAAACTCTTTCCTGGTTTGTATCTCCAATTGATTGAAATATAACATGCAAGTATCACCTATCAATTAATTCCTACTTTCATACAGACCCAAAACTGTCTAGATGACACCAATCCATATTTCCTGAAATATATTTCAGCTTTTTCATTCATAGACGACCTGAACCTTCACATCCTGGTATGTATACATTCATACAAGATCAGTCCACCTTCATTCATATCTAATACAGCCAACTACTTTCTCTTAGTTTTACGAATAGAAAAAATATCTTTCTTTCTTTCTTTCTTTCTTTCTTTCTTTCTTTCTTTCTTTCTTTCTTTCTTTCTTTCTTTCTTTCTTTCTTTCTTTCATTTCATTTCATTTCATTTCATTTCATTCATGCAGAGTATATATTCCTCTACATTCTGAGTCTTCCACATGCCATGGTTGTCAATATGTGATCCCATTAATATTGACCTCCACCTCTCATTAACAAGGTTTTCATGTAACACTTGTTAGCAACAAGTGTAAGAAGTATAAGTTAGTAAAGAAAGAACATGTTTGGTTACCAATCTTTATTATAGTCATGCCACATGCAACATTCCCATCTAATAGTAAGTACACAATACCAATTGGTTTTGGCACATTTTAGTCACTACAGGTAGTCCTCGACTTACAATCACAACTGGGACTAAAATTTCTGTCGCCAAATGATGCAGTCGTGAAGCGAAATGTCACGTGACCACATCATTTAGTGATGGAAATCCTGGCAGTCCCAGTTGCCATTGTTAACTGAGAATCATGGGTCTTTAAGTGAGTACCCACCCCAAACCAAGCCATCCCAGGCTTGGTCCCTCCCAGCCCCGAGCCTCAGTAAGGTAAGGGACTGCCTCCAACTCCCCCCACCCACCCATCTCTGCCCTTTTGGCTCTCTTGCACCTTGCCTTGCATGGCAGCAAGCAGCCCCAGAACTGCACAGCTCTGTGGTTGCTTGCCATGTCCTGGGAAGCTGCAGTTGCCCCAGCAGTTCCAGCTGCCCTCACCACCTTGCACTCAGAGGCCCCTGCTGCCCTGCACTCCGCTGCCTCAGCTGACCTTCGCTGTCTTCTTGCTCCTGCTGCTGACAAGGCGTGCCCAGCCTTGCAGCTGGGCTGGGCTTCACGCTGAGGAAAAAAAAGGCAGGAAGCAGCCCCAGAGCTACAGCACACCAAAAAGGCCCTTTGCACCATGCTCCTGGGCCAGGTTGGGGCTGGGCTTCGCCTTGTGCTGGAGCTCTGGGGCTGTTTGTTTCTTTTTTTCTTTTTCTGCAGTGCAAAGCCCAGCCCCAATCCGGCCCAGCAGCCAGGCCTGGCATGCCTTGTCAGCAGTGGGAGCAGAAAGACAGTGAAGATCAGCTGGGGCGATGAAACATAGGGTGGCAGGAGGCCAAAAGGGCATAGATGGAGGGGGAAATAGGTGGGTGGGGGGAGTTGAAGCCTCCTTGCTATCATAAGTGTGGGCAGGCTGCCAAGTACCCAAATTTTGATCACGTGACCACAGGGTTGCTGCAACAGCTGTAACTTTGGGCATGGAACGTAAGTCCCTTCATTCAGCACCACTGTAACTTCGAATGGTCGCTGAACTAATGGTCATAAGTCGAGGACTACCTGCATGCCTTAAGTATAACCAAAGCCCAGTTTTATCCCAAACATTCTCTCACTATTGTATGCAAGCTAGTATCTTTAATTCAAAGACTGCCTTGCCCACATTGCATGAACTAGGTGGCACATGCAGCATACTGACACTCTCTGGATACTGAATGTTACATTTTTGCATAAAACATATTTTCTAGAAACACATATTGAAAGTCAAACATTTAAGTAAATTTAAAACTTAAGCCAATCTTACCTAAATTTTGCCACATGCTGAAGATTTCACATCCCATTGTCACCCGCATATCACCATATCTGTTATAGTTTTTAAAAAACCAAAGATTGGATAATTAATAATTTCACTTTATCATGAAACATATTTTTGTATGTTTGCAGCAAGTATCAGCTCTAGACAGTTTGCTACTATAGAGAAAAAAAATCCAACAGAATGTTTCTATAAAATAACTATTAAGACAGGAAATGAAAAGCACCTAGACAACCACAGCGCGTCACAGAAAGAACACTTGTGAACTATTCAAACACTGTGCCTACAACCAATAAAGGATGAGCATTTGTGGGAGACAACTGCAGATATTATTGCAGATGTATTTGATGTTGTTCCTTATAATTGTTCCTGCTGCTAAAGAATCAAAGTGGAATTGGTTAAAAAAAAAATTGTCTTTAACTGTGGAAATTACTGATGCAAACATAAAGCAAAGTTTTAACTACATACATCATCATTTCTAACAAGCACATTCTTCTTAGGATTTGAATTGATATTTCTCTGCACATTATCGCCATTAATTTCAGTGAACTATAATAATTGAATTAAAGTACTGTAAACCAGATAAGTTTCATTCAAGAGCACCATGCATGTCATCAGGTGCATCTCATTGAAGCACATGTAAGAAATCAAATGTTCTTCAAACAATTATGCCTTGAAAAACAAAATTCTGTCTCCCAGTAACAATCAACAGCAAACCTCACATGATTATATCAACTTTCAATCTCAATAACATTTTACACAGAAAAAATAAATGCCACAAATATTGATGCTCTCTATTTTTAGTATAGCCAACAATTATACTTACTTTTCTAGTACTTTTTTCTTCTTAGAAGGTGTGAACATTTCTAACTGTAGACATAACTGGTTTATAAATATGACAGCAAGATAAAAATAGGAATCCCAGATCTGCAAGTAAACATAGTTTGATAATTGCATTTCTTTTTAAGCTACTATTAGTAACCAGACAACACAGATACTTATCTTACATGCCTAAGATCATTTAAAAGTTAAAAGTAATAACAATATGGAATCTGACAATTAAAAAAACCTATCACACAAAATTCAAAGAATTTATTTTGACTTATCTGTAAGCTGGTGAAGTATGATTCATCAAGTGAACAAGGTAAGGGCAGCATGATTAAATGGATGTAGAATTCGAGCAGAACAATTGAAATGCAGTAATGAGAATATCAATGATAGAAAAACTATCATAGAAAATAGACAATTCATTTTCTAAAAAACTGTTAGAAGTGCAATAACTAGGTTGGATCATTCTTTCACATTTGGTGTCAATGTTCCAAGAACATTGGAAGATGTTCCAAGAATTCTGGAAAATGATATATAACAACAGGTTCGTACCATATCCAAATTTGAGTTTTTCCTAAGATTATAGCATTTAACTTTTAACTCCCCTACCTTTTTTTTTCTGATTTACTAAATTTGTTAAATATTTCAGGCTAGATAGAATTTACTGTAAACTCATTTCTAATCTAAGTTTATAATTTATAAATTTCATTTATCTATTAATCAAATTTATATAGCTGCCCATCTCATGAGAAGTTACTCTGGGCGGCATACAATAATCAGATAAAAACAATACAGATATAAAAAACAATTAAAAATATAAAAGTCAACATTAAAAAATAGAGATTAATTAACACTAAAATATATATACAAATCTCAGACAGAGAGAGAATAAGTACATCCACCTCAATAGTGGAGCCATCAATCAATTAATAAATCAAATTATACTGGAAATAGCTGACAATGATTATAAATAATCTGACTAATTTTTTAAATATTGATTCCAATTTTCAAACTATCATAAAATATATTAATATGTAAATTTATATCAGTCATTTTGATTTTTTTCTAATAAATGTTACAGCATTTGTAAATCTATTTACAACCTGCTTTTTCAATTTTTGGTCTGAATTTCTTTCTCTTATTATATTTATAAATGTTATTTTATTTATTTATTTATTTATTTGTGTGCGTGTGTGTGTGTGTGTGTGTGTGTGTGTATGGACGTTTTAAAAATTACTGTTGATTATTATAAAAACCATAGCCTAGGACCAATGTTATTCCCAGTTAAAAGGAATTAGATGCTGTGAAGACTAACATTCATTAAAATCAATACAATTTTCCCAACCTAAATTTTCCAGATGTGTATATCGCCTATTATATCCTGCAAGTCTGGCAAACTGTTTTAAAGTACAAGTCCAGGTCAAAATTGATTGCAATGCATTGCCACTCAGATATGAAACATTAAATGCAAGGCCCATTTGAACTAAATGTTACATATATCGACATATTTTATCATCTGTGGTGAAGTATATGCTACATCAAAGCCACTGCTGACACATACATTGGAGGAAGATGATTAAACTGGAGAATCAATCAAAGCATATGGAATGTGGCCATACAGGGGAACGGAAGTTCCAAACAGAAAGGCATCTGAGAGAAAGAGCTTGGTAATTGGTTGTAAGCCACCCAGAGGTTGGTTCAAGATGGACAACTATACAAATGTTTAAATAAATACATACAAAAAAAAAAATGCAAACCAACTGCTAGCTTACCTTGTAGTCAAAATTATCATTTAAGAAGTTTTTGCGAAGGGCATCAGAAAGATATAATACCGTTGTAATAATAACACTAGTAAAAAACAAAAAAATGATTACATATTTAGTTGTTCACATAGCCATATACATAATTTTATATCTTTTTCTGATTTTGTTCATTAACGCAAGAAACCATTTGCAGAGTACAAGATTAAAGATACATAATAAAATCTTTAAAACAGTCTGAAATAGGAGCCTACAAGTTTTATAATACATACTTTGAACCTAGCTCTGTTTGTGTAAGTTATGAAATATTCTCTTGAATATATTTCTTAAACTCACAGAATGTAATATAGAAAAGAATGAAATAAAGCTAGTTAACACGTTAGTGTATTGCTTGCTTTGTTTGCCCCAACATTTTTTTTGCATAAAATTTAGTAAGTTAATTTAATTAAAGACTTGTGCTCTCTCTAATGCAGAACCATCCCTTCTGCTCAAAATTATTGAATGCTATTAATGTCATCCAGGCTTTTGCATAATTGACTTAAAGGCTTAAGTACATAGGCATTCACAGGCAAATCCATTTTTTGCAAAGAATCTTTCCCTCATTATTCAAATATTGGTGTATTATCTCTGTCCCACCTCCTGCACTGGACTATGCTGCAGGTACGTGCTCAAAATACCAGGGGGGTTTTGGGGGTGGGGGTGGGGGTGGAGTAGACCAGGAAGTCCTAATAAATATGCTTTGCTAACACACTGAAAAGACAATTAAATCTGTTTGCAGCAATATAACAAAATTGAACTAATATCTAATCAGCTTGAAAGCATGATGAATATTATTCAATGGTAGCATGCAAAACTTTTTGATGTCCACTTACCATATAGTATTGTGAACCCAAACAAATATGCAGTACCTGTACATTTCTACAGTACCAGTTTTGTTTCCAGTCAGAATTAAAAGAGCAATTTTTGCTACAATCTCAAATGAGCTTGATCATTTCATTCAAAAAGCATTGTTCTGTTCCTTGTATTGTAATACTACTTTGTTATTGCTGTTGTTTAGAATAGTGCCCCGCTGCCCACCCCAGGCCTTAACAGGATAGCTGCAGGGATTGGTCATAACCTGCTACTGATGGGGAAAAGCAAAACACATTTAAAATAGTGTGACTCAGTGAAAAAAAAGTAAAGCTGGGTATGACTCTGCTGAAGAAATGAATGAGCCAGACTGCTACTGTGCTGAAGCTGGCAAATATTTACTTGGCTCCCTAGGCATCTCCCCACCCCCATCTCAGTTTAGTAGTAGTCAAGTCTGGTTTTGCTTTAGTTCTAATTTAATGCAGTCTAATGTGTGAGTGGAGAGATTACTCCTCCCTTACCTTCCCTTCCCTTCCCTTCCCTTCCCTTCCCTCCCCTCCCTTTTCAATTCACCCCTTTAAAATGTAAATAGATGCTTCTCTAATTAGATGTATGTACACTAGTGTGCAACAGCACTAGCACTATTCACATATTCGACAGAGCTCTTTAATGGCTTCCTCCCTGCCTCCTGCCCCACATTAGGACTAACTGGCTATATCCATCCTATCCTACCAACCCCACCCCATGAAAATTCTTCTCTCAAAAGCTAGGAAGATGACCGGGAAAGGTTGAGAGGTAGTTAGAATGGCTGTCTAAAGCAGGGCATGAGCCCTGATCTTTCTACAATAGCTGCTCTTCCTGCAGTAACAGTATTGTCATTAGCAGTATCCTAGCATATGATAAAGGGTTCTTATGTAGGACAAAGAAGAGAGGACAGTACTGACTCTTCACCTTGTCAGCCCAGTCTCATCCACTCATAACCTTGGGCTGGTTACTCTGGTGTTTGACACACTGGATCACCTGCACCTGAGTGATGTAATCACACCAGTAGAGACCCAATTAATGACCCCTTGATGCACATTAGCCTGGGCCAACGATGATGTTGTTGTCTCAGTCACCAAACCAGCTGTTCAGAAAGAATGTGCTCGCTCTGAGAACATGTCACATGGATGCAATTCTTTGGACAGTACACCCCAGGCCATAAGAAAAAGACAGCTCGCAGGTTCATACAATTTCTTGGCTGCCTATCTACCAAGTAAGCTATTACTAAAATATAATGCTAAAGCTATGTCTAAAGTCTTTTCTGTGGGAAAGTTAGAGTTCATGTGAATTGATTGTATGTGGGGTAACCTGTAAAAGAAATGCAGGTAGAAAGGGAAGTAAAGGTAGGGAGGTGTATGTGCAGGCACTAATGTAATGCACATGCAAGTGGTGATAATGTTAACATTTTCAGTGCAATAAGACTGTGCAGCATTTCATTTTCAAAGGCAAAAAAGATATTTTGGGGCTGGTGACAGTGTGCACCAAGAACTTGTCTGCTATACTCCTTAAGCCAAACACAGGACTGCACTGCAGCTGTGGAAAACAGCCATGTGATCCTGGGGAAAAAATATAACTATGTTAACATCAGCATCCCTGCACACTCCAAATCATCATTTTCCTTTGAATCCAAAATCCACAGTCCTGAAATGGAGAATTCTAGTAAACGTTGGCTTGGATGGTTTGCTAAACTTTAAGTGCATATGTACCCCGTGCATGCTCAAGCACCTTGTGATTTTGAGTTTAAGACTGCACTTAGAAATGCCTCTGTGTTGGTCTGTTTGGCTTGACTACAGTTTTTGAATCCTCTGTTCTTTTGATGCTGAGCTTCAAGATCCATTTCAAATTATAACAAGATTTAGTTTGACTCTGGATGTCAACCAGATTGCGCCTCTGTCATCTTGAGTACTTGTTTGTAACCATACTATTAGTTTGTCTGTTGTGCTATATTTTCATACAAGAGTTAGGCAACTGTGTTTAAAAAAAAACAAAGGGGAGACAGATAGGCATTTTATTCTGTCAGAATACTCAATATTCGAACCGTTTCATGTTTTATCACATCAGAATGCTGACAACTTGGAACTTATTGATGGGATTGTTTTGTGCTGATTTCAAAAATATGTATTTTTAATTTAATGAGGATGGGAAATATTTAAGGTCTAACTGAGAATAAAAGAGAGGAGATAGGAATGACTTAGAATATCTACTTTCTCATTGACTACCAATCGTAAACAAACAAGATAGACAGATAATTATAAAATATAATTCTCAAATGAGATCATAAGGTATAAAAGGCTGTAATCTTCCTTGGCTGTAATCCAAAGAAATGTAATTTGTTGGAATTTTATTAGCTTAAAGTGATAAGCATAGAGTCTCAATAAAAATAGACCCATATTATGATTATAATTGCATTTAAGAAATCTTACTTGTTAGCAACTAAACGCATCACTGTCCAATCTTTTGGAAACATTTCTGGTCGTATCAGTATTCGAAAAACAGTAAATATCTGTAACAAGAAATCCTGAGAGAGAAAAAAAAGCCTAAATTATTTTTTATGGTAAGAAAAATGTGCAACAAATTCCTTTAGCAAAAACATTAGAAAACCTTCAGATCAAGAGAAAAGAATATTCTAAAGTAAAAAAGACAACTATTTTTGTCACTCTGAAAAAATTCAAAGTAATAATATCACTATTAAAAGCAGTGATTTAACTGCTTATAATGAGATAGAGAAGGGAGAAAAAAACAAATTTTGATTCAAAGATCTATTTAAACAATCTTTAAATCCACAATAACAGACAGATTGGTCTCAATCACTAATACCAGGGTACTTTTTTTCCCCCACTAATTGAATTATGTAAGTACAAATGGTTTTAAAAGTCAGTGAGGATAATTTCTATTGGATTTCATTGCCTACTCTGGCCCTCATCAAATTGCACCATTGGGAAATTCTGTATAATAGATTCAAATGAGAACAAGCTCTATCTGGCGTCATTCGAGTAATTACCACTTCCACTTCAGCAGTTGCTATTTGCATTTTAAGAAGCATGCCCATTCAAAGCAAGAATGCCCTGCATCTGCTTTTTCCCTATGTACAGTATTGAAAATATTAAGCCATGGGCCAATCAGATTTTACTGTCACACTGCTTATAATTCTTCATACCACTAAATACTTTAATGACTAGCACTGTGAAGCAAAATCAAGGGTAAACCTATATCTAGATTATATCACATCTGACTGCAGATAGGAGGGCAGCTTTCATGCTTGAATATTTCTTCACATGCCCCTGTCCCCCAGATGTTATATATTATTCCTTTTTGTCACAAATGGCATAACAGCAGATCAATGTAACAGAAAAAACAATATCATTAGACCATTTGATGTCAGCAGTAGGACTGTAGTTTAGACTCCCACACAACACGCTACATTTTTGCTTGGTAGTAATTTCGGGGTTCTAGTAAATGAAGTGGATTACTATCTTATTTGTTATTTGTGAAAACAGACCTATGTTGCATGTAGTTTTCAGACCACTATTGGAGGCATAGCTGATCCAGCAATTTTCCCTTGAAATGCAGAACAGCATAAAGAAAACTGAAAATTCTTGAGATGTAATGGTAAGAATCTACACAGTTGAATAGGGGCTCATATGAACGCTTCAGGATTCATATGAGACAGGTTTCAGCATTCAGAGAAGGCAGGCAAGGATTCCCCAAAACAAGCAGCCACTCGTTAACC